TGGGTTCTGTTGTGTTTTTCCCACCACCCCGGGGGGGCCCGGGGGGGGGGGGGGGGGGTAAAAAAAAACAATATTGAGTGACCATCAAGCATTGTTGGAAGTCCTAGGAAGAATGTTACAATCTATGTAGCCAATGCATTTTATCACAAAAGCAAATATACACACTAACAAACAGCACAAATTCACAATCAGCCCCATCAGAAAGTGTTTATCTGCTGTAGAAGTACAGTGACACAGCTGCTAACCTTGATAAGAACATTGTAAACAAGCGGTGCGCCATACATCCATTTGGATATACCTAAAGAACCACCTGAGCCTCTGAACAGCCAATGGCAGTCAAGGACACAAACGCGGAGGAAGGCGCAACGAAGGTCTGCCTGAAGAGATATTTGTGTCAAACCAAAATGGTATTGTGCCGTGAAAGAGTGGCGTGCTTTTCCCTTTACCAAAGGTTACAAAACAGTGCATCAACTCTGATCGAAGGACATTTGTCTTTGACAGAAAGTGTTGATGAATACACTAGTGACAAAAAAGCCCTTTCAATTAGAAAACCTGTGTTCAAAAGAAACACCAACGTTTCGTGCACTTTATTATCAGCAGTACAAAAACACAAGCAACTTCCAACAGAACAGGAATACATTTACCGCTTTAAGAGGTGAAGAGAGTCCAAGAAGAAAGAGTTAAGCCTTCAAATGAGTGAGTCCTCCTCAGTTAAAAGATGTCAATTTTGTTGTCATTTTTATTTAAGAATGCATTAAGTATGCAATTCTCACATAAAATGACTTGAATACACCTCGTCTACACTGAAAATTTGTAGTTGAAAATTCAACTTGTAATATTACAAATCAAGGAGAACAACCATTTTCTAAGTAAAATGTACACATTTAATTCATGTAATTAATAAACTGCGTGAGAAGAGTAACTCTTATTAATATTTACTTGTAATATGTATATGTTTTATAGTCATTGCTCATAAATCTAGACATATTGAGTAAATTTTAATCTAAAAGTTCAGCGCGCTTGAATCCGCGCATGCGTGTTTGGACCCACGCTTTGAATCAGAGGGACGGTTGGGCTTGTCACGGAGGAGATGCATGGCTGGATTTTCTTGTGTTTAAGGTAAGTTTGCCTTTCTGTTTTAGATTTCTGATTTGTAATACTTTGGTCCGTGTGCATTTCGATAGTTTGATTCTTGTTTGCTTGACTCATTATACTGTACATTGACGTTCATATTAATCACATAACCTCATTAAAGTTAACTTGCGTGCGGTCACAGTGAGTGATATTTCAGCGAAAATGTTTTCAATAGTTCAGAGATTCACAAAGCTGTTTTTCACGTAAAAACTTGAGCACAATTGGAAATTACTGTAAATTATTTAACGTTGTTGTAACTGCTAGCTAGCTAACATCGTTAATAAATAAAACAATCGCATAGTTTAGCATAACGCTAGTTTCTGCTCTTTCAAACACTCGACTGACGTAATAGAGAGAGTTTAGAGCAATAACGTTGTAGTAATCTCATTAATTGTCGTGTTTTTTTTCTATGCTACGCTAACATACCACCTAACCCTAAAGTACCTGTTGCCATCAGCGATTGTGTTTTATAGGACTAATTTTGAAAAGTGTGAACAGAAAGTGTTAGTAAAAGTGTTTTTACGCTTCTTTAATATGGTATTCAACTTATAGTTAATTCCAGTCCAGTCTTGTCAGTTATATCTTTTCTTTTGCTCAAACAATCTGTAATTTGTTGGTTAAAAAGCAAAGTTTTATGAACACATGTTTCTATTAACTGGAAGGCTTTGGATTCACTGCAGAATAAGCTGGAGTGTGAGTTGATGAGCATACAGAAGGAGTGATTGATCTAATTCTCATATTCAGGCAAGTATAAATCTATGCATAGATTTGCATGATATAACATTATTGTTGTTATTTTTACCTATTCTTCACTGCACAATATAAAATTGTGGTTAAATGTTTTAGATCATTGTTTTAATATCACAAATTGTGTCTGTTAATTTACAGGGTGACCTAACTCTGACGAAGAGCCAATGCAGTGGACACTTGAGGTGTGGGGAGGAAGACAGACTGATGGTTTTCATGTTAGATGCAGTTTTGGTTATCAATACTACCTAGCTCTGTCAGGTTAAAACCTCATCTTGTTCTGTTTAAGTATTTTTTTTTTGAGGCTTTACAGCACCTTTAAAAACTTGTGTCTTTTTTAGGTCATGTGAATGTGACTGATTCACTTTTATTAATGTTGGAAAAATAAAGAGTTTAATTGTATTTTAGTTGTGTGATTTGCGATAAAGGTATAGACCAGAGGTTCTCAACTCTTGCGCTCGAGGTCCATGTCCCTACAGAGTTTAGCAACCTGTAACTTTCTAGTAATCTTGAAGACCTTGATGAGCTTGTTCAGCTGTGTTTGATTAGGGTTAGAGCTGAACTCTGCAGGAAAGTGGACCTTGAGGGCCAGAGTTGAGAACCCCTGGTATAGACAAATTATATTTAGTGCTGGGCGGTTCATACCGAATACCGTTTATTTTTCTTATGATATGAATTTTTAAAATACCGCAATAACGGTTTCGTTTAAATAATGTTCGTAACGCGTTTGAGGGGGCATAGCCGCTCAACATGCATCTACTGTACATGCATGTTGATTTTATCAGACGATGTCGCGATTATAAATGAGAGTGACTCCTGGTTAACATGTATAAATGGGTCGTGTTTCGTCACTATTTGGAGTGGAATTTTTCAACAATATTCACTCATCATGACAGTAAAATAGGGCAAAACATTAAATAGTTTGGTAAGGGTAGTTCAGACTAGGTCCGATCAGGATTTTTTAGGTTGATCGCCGATCACAGAAAGCAGTATCTGCCGATACGATCACCGGTACCGATCTTTTTAAAGCCTTCTTTTTATCATGTAGAATTATTTACAGTGATGATCCAATCAAGATTTTTAGACATTTATTCAGGGCTTGAATTTCATTTTTGAAAATGAATTCCCCTCTTAGGTGACTCTTGTGAGAGGGTATTTTTTAAAGGGGTCATATGATTCTGCTAAAAAGAACATTATTTTGTGCATTTGGTGTAATGAAATGTGTTTATGCGGTTTAAAGTTCAAAAAACACATTATTTTCCACATACTGTACATTATTATTTCTCCTCTATGCCCCGCCTTTTTGAAACGCGTCGATTCTTACAAAGCTCATCAGTCTGAAAAAGCGAGGTGTGCTGTGATTGGCCAGCTATCCAATGCGTTGTGATTGGTCGAATACCTCAAGCGTTAGACGGAAATGTTACGCCCCTCACATACTGGAATGCCCTGTCCGGCCGGAGCGACGAGACAAAAAAAATGAAAAACCCTTTACAAACGAGTCATTTGTTGCATCCAGTGGGGACATAATTACTGATTATAATGACTTCTACTGTCTTTTTACATGTTGCGTTGCATTGCATCGCGCCGCGTAAACATAAAACTCTGTCTGCATTTGTGATTGGAGAAATGACAAACAACAAGTGCTACTCTACACTGCCCAAAACTCGCGTTTGAATCATCAGTGGCAAATCCTTTAAATGAAAACGTACTTACGTGAGTCAGAACTGCCGGCATTGTAGTCTAACGTTACTCTCCCAGGATCAGTAAACAGTCCTCCATAAAATGTGCTGCACACATCTGGATATTTGGGTTAAACTGTTCTGGAACAGTGTTGTAAATACAACTTAACAACTGATTTGTAGTCGTGTGCTCTTTTGGAAGACCAAACAAAGTAGTTTCGATTTCACAACGAAAAACACAGCGGCCTAGCGTGAGGGAAAGTCCCAGCTTAGCGTGCGCTGAGGCCGGAATAGAATGAGCTGAGGCCGGGCTAGCGTGAGCCGAAGCCCCGGCTTAGCATGCACTGAGGCCGGAATAGAGTGAGCTGAGGCGGCGGGGTCGAGAACGGCGCGCCCGGCGGATGCGACGAATGAGCGGCAACCACATGTGACGGACCCCGGGCTGGACTCCGCTTTCTTTCACAACGAAGCACACAGCGCCTCCACGACATGGCTGCAGCGTCAACAATACTACAGTGAGAATAAAATGTACGCCTTCTTTCTTTGCATGAACATTTGGGCGGCGTTATGCAAATCTTCCTACATAATGCGGTAGATATGTGGGGGCGTGTTAGAACGAGTCGTTTTAGGTAGGTGTGGCTGACTCTTAACTTTTATAAAGAATATCTCTTTGGATTTGAGACTTTAGTCTTTGCAACTTTACAGATCTTCTTATTGCACCAAGAGCTTGTAACACTCCAAAGAGAAAGGAAAAATTAATATGACCCCTTTCATTTGAGGGGTGGAGGGGGGCATTTTTTTTTACATTTTTCAAATATATATTTTTCTCACCTAAATGTTTGATCATGCACTGTATTTTTGTTTTGACAATCGTGCAATTGTTGCACAATAGCTTACACACAACACAAGCCTAATTTCGTGAGCTGTATGTGAGGCAATGTTACACCAGGTTCACACATACTCCGTTTGCAGTGCGTATGCAGTCCATGTGCGGTACAGAAGCGGTGCAGAAGCAGCACTGACTCTCATTGTGCTTTCACACAGGAGACAGCAACTGATCCGTGACTGTTTACTACAAACACAACATTTATCCATTATTTTGATTTCAAATCCATTGTTACTTAAAATGCATTTTCAGCTTTGTGATTTTTTTTTTTTACACAGTACAGTGTAATACAATCTTTCATAGACGTGTTTAAACGCAATAAATATAAGAAACACATTATTCAATGCTTTTTACTTTTGCATTTAGGCCTACTTCTAGATTTATATATTAAGTT